ACACCTTTCCCAAGTCTTCTCCCTGGCCCCCATTCAAAATTTTACCTACCAGCAGAGGTATACCCCACCTTCACAGCAATAATTGCTTCTTGGAAAAAACAACACTAAGAGATGATGACATGTAGGACAATTAGGTTCTGTACATTCTTATCATTTGTAGTGGGTGTACAGAAGTTTACCAGAGGACAGGCACAAATAAAGACCTAGTATGTCAAGGCAAAAATTTTCTGGCAGGCAACTCATGTAAGCTTGTTTGTTCCTCACCAAATTCCAGTAAGATTTCCTGTATCTCAGACCTTGGGTTCAACTGTGAACAAGCATCTCCACTTTCCAAATTCTCATGAATGACTAATAGAGTAGATCTCAACATTTTCAAATGTGAAGATTACTTTCAAAAAATCTTTAATTGAAAGGTTTTTTTTTTTAATTTTAACTTTTATACTATAGTCATTTCCTGGTATTTTCATACACACCCCTAAATTGAACCTTCCCTTGTAACAAAACAAAAACATGAACAGTTAAGCAAAACCTACTAACAGAGGAACAAATGTGATTCCATATGTGTCATTCTATACGTATTCACCTCTCTGCCAAGAAGAGGGAAATGTGTTTCATCATTTGCTTTCTAGGACCACTATTGATCATTGCATTTAATTTGAGATCTGCTATCTTTTAGACTTTGCTTGTATTATTATAGTCATTGAGTGTATTTTTTCTCCTCATTCTGCTTTCTTTGATCTGCAGTGGTCCTCACATATCTCTAAATTCCTCATATGACTCATTTCTTTTTTCTTTTTTTTTTTTTTGGCAATTGGGGTTAAGTGACTTGCCCAGGGTCACACAGCTAGTAAGTGTCAAATGTTTGGTCTGAGGCCAGATTTGAACTCAGGTCCTCCTCACTTCAGGGCCAGTGCTCTATCCACTGTGCCACCTAGCTGCCCCTGCCTCATTTCTTATAGAGCCAAAATGTTCCAAAAATGTTCTATTACATTTACATATCACAATTTCTTTAGTCATTCCACAATTGATAGACCAATACTTCATTTACTTTTTTTTTCTCTACCATAAAGAGTGCTGTAGTCATAATTTGAAATGAGGTCTTTCTTTCTGTCTTTAACTTACTTGGAATATATGCTTATAGTAGAGCTGTTGGGTCTTAAGGCTATGACTGTTTAGTCACTTTTCTCTTATAATTCTACATAATTTTGGAACATTGGAACAAATCAGAGTTCCACCTAAAATGTTTTATATGTTTAACTTCTCAAATCCCCTCTGACATTGACTCTTTTAATATTTTATCATCTTGCCAATATGACTCAGAGGTGAAACCTCAGAATTGTTTTAGTATTATTATTATTTTTTGTGCCAGACTTGTGATTTCATTCATGTTTCCCACTATGGAAACTCCTGCCATCACTCATAAAAATCAACTATTCATCGATTTTATTATCTTAGAGAATTGCTTGGGATACTAAAAAGATAAGTCATTTGCCCAGCATTAGTACATATCTGAGGTGAACTTGAATCCAGATCTTTCAGACCTTGAGTTCAACCCTCTATCCACTATGCAACATTGTCTTGTTTGCTAATTAATTAACATTTTTCTTATTAGCAATTTGGAACATTTTTTTCCTAATTTATAGTTTTTGTTTCTTTTGAAAACCTTTTTGTTCATATCTTTCAGTCAGTATCTATTGGAGAATAGCTAAGGATTTCTTTTCAAAAAATATTTTTGTTTTATTTTTTCTCAATTACATGTAAAAACAATTTTAACTTTCATTTTTTAATAATTTTTGAGTTCTGAATTCCGTCTCTCCCGTCCTCGCCATTCCCCTTCTTGAGAAGACAAGCAGTTTGATACAGATTATACATGTAAATTCATGCAAAACATTTCCATATTAGCCATGTTGCAAAAGAGAACTGGACAAAAAAAAAGAAAGAAAAAGGAAATAAGAAAGATAAAGAATGTAAAAAAAAGTATGCTTCAATCTGTGTTCAAACTCCATCCTTTTTCTGAAGGTGAATGGCATTTTTCATCATAAATCCTTCTGAATTGTCTTGAATCATTGTATTGCTGAGAATAGCTAAGTCATTCACAGTTGATCATCATACAATACTGCTGTTGCTGTGTACAGTGTTCTTCTGGTTCTGTTCACTTCACTTTCCATCAGTTCATGTAAGTCTTCCCAGGTTTTTCTGAAACCACCCTGCTTGTAAGGACCTCTTTTTAACCTCAAAAGATTTTGTGGAATCCCACAGGAATAATAGTTTACAATTAGAGTCCATTGATTGGAAAAATAAAAAACAGAAACCTTAAATTTATATTAGTGGCTTTTTTCCTTTTCTTTTATTCTTAAAAAAAAAATCAAAATCTGTTAATTATAAAGAATTATTGATTCCGGTCATCAGTTGGAACTGAGAAGCTTAAATGATTTGTCAGCAGTCACTCAGCTAATATGTGTCAGGGTCATGTGAACCCAGGTCTTCCTGAATCCAAGATTGGTCCTCTATCCACTATGAGATAATATCTGTAAAAAACACTTAGCATACTGGCCCTGAAGTCAGGAGGAACTGAGTTCAAATCTGGCCTCAGACCAAACACTTGACACTTACTAGGTGTGTGCCCCTGGGCAAGTCGTTTAACCCCAATTGCCTAGAAAGAAAAAAGGAGGAAAAAAAAGCACTTAGCACATAGTAGGTACAATATCAGTGTTTATTTTGTTCCCCTTCTCTAACCTTCTCCCTGTGTCTTGCTACCTCTCATGAGAAAATCATAGATCCAGATAGATTCAGTATTACTTTTAAATGAAATGTATACCTTATTAATCACAACAGAAATTGAAAAACAGCAATATATATGCAAATTCAGAAAATATTTACATGTTATACTCAATCATGTTGCTGAATCAAGATTAAAATGACAAGTCTTGCAACATGGCTAATATGGAAAGTCTTGACATGTACACATATATGTGTATATACTTATATGCACGTGTGGGCACACACACACACACACACACACACACACACACCCTTTCCGATCACTGCACAAACCTGCAGGGGCGCTCAGCCCACAGGTTAGGAATCACTGCCTTATAATCTGCTTCCGCTAGCTTTGTTTATAACATAATGGACTTTTTTTCTTGACTTCTTTGTATCTTATCCAGGTTTTCATGCTTACTCCCTACAAAATTTAAATTTAAATCTGCCAGCTGTTAGGGAGTATCTAACAGTTCCATGGGAATCGTGACAGTATCTATATGTATGGTAGTCTGACTTTCAGTATGGGGAATGTTGACCCATAGCGCATCTGCAACTAGAAGTCACAGACAGCTTCCTGGAGCCCTAAGTGGTAACTGACTTCCTCATAGTCTTCCAAATAATAGGTGTCACAAGCAGGTCTTGAACCCAGGTTGTTTCTGATTCCCAAGGCCAGCTCTCTACGAACTGTGTTGATATCTCTCATTATAAATATTTTAGTGTTATAAAAAGGTGTTTGGTTGTTTTTTGTTTTTGTTTTGTCCAGACCTCTAATTTCTTGGAACTCCCAGTGTAGAAACTCTTGGGGTTACTAAATAGGCAACCTCTTTCCAATTGGCCAATAGGAAATAGCCCCAAAGTGTATTTGCCTTCCAAGGGGAGTCCAAATCACAAAGCAGCCCTGTATGTCTTTGAAGAGATTGTGGAAGGGGAGAAGAATTTCACTTTAATATTAGAATGCTGCTTTGTTGACAGCCCTGAGTTCAGTTCCCTTCCTAGGGGAGCTTATGAAGTACTGTGAGTGCTTTATCCATACTTTAATTTTTATTGGTGCCTGTGAGTCTTTGCTGCCTTCTGCATATTTCAGTGAAATAAAGGCTGTCTTCTACCTGAAAAAAAATTTTTTAATGGCTTGCCCAGGGTCACATAGCTATTAAATGTCAAAAGATATATACCTAGGTCTTCCTCACTCCTAGTCCTGTACTACATCCTGTCCACATGCCGCCTCTAATACTTAATGACGAACTAGCATTTGTTAAGTACCTACTATGTGCTTAGCACAATTCTAAGCACTGGTGATACAAAGAAAGGCAAAATAGTGCCTGCCCTCCAGGAGCTCAGAGATAACAGGGGAGACAACAGACATACAACTATACAGAACCAAGATACATATGTGATAAATTGTACATAGTCTCAGAAGGATATCGCTAATATTTAAGGAAGACTGGAAAAGCCTGCTTGAGCCAGGGAAGCTGGAGGGAGAGATGAAGGAGAGAGCTCCAGGTGTGGGACCAGCTAGTCAAGAGATGAGTGTTATAGGATTACAGAATCCGTTATGTGGAGCAGAGTAAGGTGTAAGAAAACTAGAAAAATAAGAAGGGACTAGTTTATGAAAAGCTTTAAAAAGCAAATAGAGGATTTTGCATTTGATCCTGGAGGTGGTGGTTGTCCTTTGTTCTCATAAAGGACTAAGATGACACTACTATGTTGGGGTCAAGGTACAGTGTGTCCAACTGTGGCTGATCAGGCAAAAAGGAGTCACTGGGGTTTATTGGATGACATAGGCATTCACTTTAGGGAGATCAGTTTGACAACTGAGTTGAAAGATGGTTTGGAGTGGGGAGAGACTTGAGGCCTGAAGAGCAACCATCAGACTATTCCTGTAGTCCAGGTATGACATGATGAAGGCCTGCTACAGGGTGCTGGCAGTGTCAGAAAAGAGAAGAGTATAGGAGAGGTGTTAGTAGTCAGGTAGAAATGACAGGACTTAACAACTGGTTGGATGTGAGGGATAAGAGAATGAGGAGAATGACACCTATTTTGTGAGCCTCTAACAAGAGAAGGGCTTGGGGTAAAAGATAACGAGTAAATAAAATCTTGATTCTGAAGATTAGCTTATAAAAGAAATGTTACTGCCTTGGGAACTTACATTTTTAGAAATGATGTATTGCTTATAAACCACCTAGATACATACCCAATTAGATTTGCAAAATTTTAATGTGATTGTTTTTCCTTTTCAGTCCACGTCAAATTACCATGCAAGAAGGTTTGGAGTACGGGCAGCTATGCCTGGATTTATTGCTAAGAGACTCTGCCCACAATTAACTATAGTGTCTCCAAATTTTGACAAATATCAAGAAGTGAGTAAAGAGGTAAGAACACTGGGGAATTTCAGTGGTGCATCAAAGTATTAATTTCATTTAAGTTTTTCTAAGTAATAGGCAAATGGTAAGTTCTCATTTGTTTATAAACTTGTAGTGTACAAATAGACCACCTGGGGCTTTAAGTTCCTCAAAGTGCTTTGATTAAAAAATGACCAGTTTGGTCTGTGGGAGACAGTCTAAAATACCTTACAAAATATATTATACCTTTTCTTTTTTATGGAATTGTCAAAATCCATAAAAAGGAGTTAATTTCTCACTTTTTATTATGGTCTTTTCAAATGACTAGGCTAGTTTGTGTTGTACACTAGAAGAGCAAATTTACAAATTGGCAGCTTATAGCTTGGGAGGGTTAATGCAGTGTCAAAAAGCATATGGTTTATGTTGGTGAAGCATGCCTTCTCCTCCACAGATAAGCTGACTATTGTTGTAGAATGAGGCATATGTTTTCTGCCTTGGCCAACATGTTGACTTGTTTTGCTTAGCTGTATTTCTTTGTTGAGAGAGAGGGTTTTACTAGGTAAGTGGGTGGATAGTCATTGGGAAGGGAGAGAGTTGTTTTTTAAAGTGCATTAATAAAACGTTTAATTTTTACAAATAAAAGTGAAATAATTCCCTTTTTAATAGCATATGGTTTATTTTGTTCCTTTAGGACTAGGACTATTATCTCTACTGCCATGAATGAAAACAAAGCTTTTGCAATTATGGAATTAAAATGAAATATATTTTAACTGTAAATTATTTCAGTTTTTTTAATAAACAGTATTCATTTTCTCCTAATGGGAACTCATAAGACTCAGAGAAAGTCAAGTAATTCTTAGAATCTACTGTTGTCATCAGTTTAAAACTCTTGCCTAATCCAGTCTTTATCGAAGCTTTTATCAAGTAACAAAATTGATTGGTTTGCATTTTAGTGCCTTTCCTTTTCTAGGCCTACCTATTCCCTGGTTGAAGATGTTAATGATGAATGAAGTGTCCAAAAGGCTGACAGCCAAAGAGAAGGAGAAGGAAGGAAATTAAGTGGTATAAATATTTGTTAATGTATACCACATTATAGAAGAAAAATCTATTAATATGAGTGGCTTCAGGTTGTAGTGGCTAGAAAGATGGATTCTTGAGTGAGAAAGTATTAAGGTCTAAAGCCACATTCTACAGCATCCTGGCTCTATGACTCTGGCCAAGTCACTTAACCCTCAGTGCCCCAGGCAGCTCTTAAGGCTATAAATTATAGAGCAGTTGTAATGTGCATTGGTAGAAGGAATCACCAGGCAGAATTCCCTTTGCAAATGCAATCTAAGTGCAGGGGGGGAAAAAGTAGTACTGCCATTACCAATTTACTGTGTTTTGATTTTTTTTTTCAACATTAACATTGTAAATGTTGGTTCATTTTGCTACAGTCAATCAGTAAATTTTATTATGTGCCTGCTATGTGCCTGGCACTGTGTTAAGTGCTAGGGATACAAATAGAAAAAATAAAGACAGCCCCTGCCCTCAAGGGGCTTACAATCTACTAGAAAGAACAAAAGGAAGCTGAAGATGGGAAGGTGGAAAGTACCTGACACAAAGATATGGTGAAAAATTCAGGGAAATCCCAAAATAGTGCAGCCAAATGAAGAGATGTCTGTCCTGAGCCCCCTCCTCTAATGGAGGTTTTAAAATTCATGGCTCCAACTTCTAATTAGTGGAGTAGAAAGTAGTAAGATGTGAGTATGAAAACTGAACTGATCTTGTAAATTGGTAAGTGGTAAGATTTCTGAGGTAAATGATGAGGTTCTTGGAGCATGAAGAAGTCAAAGAAGTACCAAAGTAGTGCAGCCAGATTTGGAAATAAGGTGTGGAAAGAAAGGAAGGAAGGAAGAAAAGAAAAGAAAGAAGCAAGTGCCCCACTTCCCAACTTCTTTTTCCTGGTTCCTTGCAAATAGATAAAATAGCAAATAACAGAATGACCTGTTTTTTAATACAGCTTAAACTCTTTAAGAGATTTAGTAAAAACATTGTAAAAAGTATTTCCTTAACCCAATAAAAACCTTTGACAGGATGATTCACTGCATTCATTCATTGCATGTGAAGAGGTTTCTTTTCCCCATTCCCCAGATAAGCTTGCCCAGATTGATGAAATATTTTTTTTATTCTAGCTTTGGGCAGAGTTTATGTGAGCATTCCCATATAGCCATGCCTATTTACAAATTGGCACGTTTCTAAATATACCGTAATATAAATATAGCATTTACTAATGCATATTAATTTGGAGCTTAAGAGCTTTAAAAGGAGCCATTTATTTCAGTTGTAAAGAAGCAAAGATAACTAGTTATTCTTGAAACATTAAAACTTTATTTTTTTGCTAAAGTGTATATTTTAGTTCTAATAACAACCTCTTATGCAAAAGAAGCTTGTACAATTAAAAAAAATTCTCCATGAACTCATTTAAAATAATCTAAGGTAGCTGTTATCAAGAGCCAGCTTCTTTTTAAACTCCATTTTCACTAGGATTCTGTTTAATACTATTCAAATGACTTCTTCTGTAAGAACAGATATGATTAAAGTTCTCTGAATAAAGCTTGTTGATAAATGTATGTCACAATTCTTGATGACTAATTTAAAGTATTCTTTAGGGTTTTTTTTTTTAACAAGCTGCCTTTCTGAGATATTTTTTTTTCCTAATGCATGTTTAGTGAAAATTTATTGGATACCTACTATGTGGAAAGCACTGTGTTGGAAAGGCCCCTGCAAGAAATAAAACAAATAAAACATTGTCTCTCTCCTCACAGAGTTCACAATCTTGTAGGAGATTGACATTTATACAAATATATACATATATATGTATATGTATGTATGTAATTGTAGTACAAAATGATACATAAGTACATTAGAGAGGTACAGCCTACCCAGATATCTTCAGTGAAGTGCAACTCATTACCACACTGGAAAAACCACTTCACTGTCGTAGTAATTTAATTTTTAAGGCCTTCTTCCTCATAAAGAGCCAAAGTCTGCCTCTCTAACTTTCACCCACTGATCTAAGGTCTGCCCTTTGTAGCTCTACAGAATAAATATAAGCCCTCTTCTTTGTGACATGTGTATTGTAGACAGTAATCACATCTTGTCCTAAGTCTTATTAGGAGACTAACCATTCCCAACAAATAGACAGCCTATTTTTCTTTAAGTTAAAGGATCAGACTCCTATTCCAGGACCTCATCTGGAGGTTACTTGTAAGTTTGAAGGCTTATTAATACCTGTGGATAGGCCTTTAGTACTATCCCAATGATAGACTGTGTTTATCCTCTCACAATCATCCTGGCTAAATTGGAAGACATTCATCACTATATTGACTCCAAGATGATGAAGTTTTCAGCAACATTAGCTCTAATTTCCAGAGAGGTTGTGATTTCTTTTAATGAAGGAAGTACCTACACTAAACAAAATCAGAGCCTTGAATAATAGGTGATTTTTTTATATAATTCAGCATATTTTTTTGGACCAGAGCCATGATTTCTTTTTCGTGAGGAACTATTTGTAGGGAAACTCCCTTTACCAATGCAAATTGGCATCTGTTTTGCAACTTACAGCTTTGATCCAGTACATAGATATCCTTATTGTCTTGTAAGACAAATCTTAATTTATACTCTAAATTGGGAACCTTTGAACTTCAAGTATAATTAACCAAAAATGTCCTACAACCCAGCAACTTGACAAGGGACCTTTCTTAAATAATGTGTTATTTCCCTCACAGTTTAATATTAGATTTCTCCCATGCATTTAATAAAGTATATAAAGATATAATTGATCCTACATATGCATTTTTGACTTAAATTAGTTTGGGGTTTTTTGGTTTGTTTTTTTTTTGGTGAAGCAATTGGGGTTAAGTGACTTGCCCAGAGTCCCACAGCTAGTGAGTGTCATGTGTGTGAGGCCAGATTTGAATTAAGGTCCTCCTGACTCCAAGGTCAGAGCTCTATCCATTGCACCACCTAGCAGCCCCTTAAACTAGTATTTTTGACCTTTGTTCTTCAAGATTTTATGTTTGTGTGTGTATTGTGTGTGTGTGTGTGTGTGTGTTTGTGTATATATGTATATATATACGCCCAAACTTTAATTGAAATTCATTTATGTTCTAAATGAAATATAATTTTCAGTTTTTGTTCCTAAGAAAAAATGAAGGACATCTATTTTTTTTTCACATGCTTTCCCCACTAATTAAAATTATATTTCTTAGATGTTTTCCCCTTGGTCATCAAACTACCAGGTGTGAAATCAGAGATTTATTTGGATCCCAAATCACAACTAGATGAGTTGATAAAAGGGAGCTTATAAAGAGGAAACAAAAGATTTTTCATCATCTTTTGACTTAATGGTCTATTTTAAAACAAAGGAAATTTGGTATAAATGTATTATATCAATAAATTACTTATCTTATAAATCTAGGAACTATTGATTATAAGGTCATAATGGAGTTGCCATGTACGAGTGTCCTAATGTAGGTATCAACTAAATGTGCCAGAAGCTTTTGCTACAGCAGCAAAACATAAAATTTTTTGTGTGTTTGTCAAGGTTAGGGAAATTCTTGCTGATTATGATCCCAATTTTATGGCTATGAGCCTTGATGAAGCCTATTTGAATATAACAAAGCATTTAGAGGAAAGACAAAACTGGTCTGAGAATAAAAGAAGATATTTCGTCAAAAGAGGAAGCACTACAGAAAATGGTAAGCTATTTATTGGAACTGGTAACCTAAAAAAAATTTAAATTGTCACTATAGTAGGTGATGGCTAGAGCAGGCTCACTTACATTTGGGGAATTGTACAGTGTTTTAAACCATCCCATGCTACTGTCTGAAACAAGATAAAGCAAGAGCCTATCTTTTTAACAACATTCTTCTAGTGATGTTGTTTGACTTCAAATAATGAAATGTCACAGATCTCTGAAGAATTAAAATTTAAGATGATCCAAAGGGAAATGGAGAGATATATGATGGGTATGAGCTAACTACTGCCTATTACTGATTTGCCCAAAAGAAATGGTGTACAAGAGATTGTATGATTGGGAAAGAAAATAGGTTGGTCATGTAAAATGGAGAAAAACAGATGGCCAGTTACAGTACTCCACTGATACCCAAGGTATTTTTAAAAGCCAAAAAGAAGGCTTCAAATATGTTGAGTAGACCTTCTGTAGATGTATGGGAGGACATGGACAAAAGTTATTAAATGAAAAGGGATCGATGGAAGAGTTGTGATCTGTATCTTCAGAAGGAACATGTCTATTGATGAGAACAAGATTTCATTGAAGTATAGACATAAAGTATTTCTGAGAAAGCAATATTTGCTGTCCTTAAAAATAAATGTTGATTTGACTTTTTAAATGTTCACTGACTCACTGCTATATTTATCTAACCCAGGTCTCTACCCGATCTTTAGTACTGCATCGCCAACTGCCTATCAGACATTTCAAATTGTACATCCAAGAGACATCTCAAACTCAAAATGTCCAATACTAAACCTACAGTTTTTTCCTGAAAAACGCTCCTCTCTAATAAACTTTCTCATTTCAGTCAAAGGCACCATAATCCTTCCAGTGTATCTGGTTTGTAACCTCAGCTTTATTCTCAACTCCTCACTCTCATTCACCCCCCATATCCAATTAGTTACCAAATTTTACCCTACCTACACAACCTCTCTTGCATCCAGCCCTCTACTCTCTACCCACTTAGCTACCACCTGAGTTTAGGCCCGCATCACCTCTTACCTTAATTGTTGCAACAGCCTTCGAGTTGGTCTTCCTGTCCCAAGTCTCTCACTACTCCAGTCTGTCCTGTGCACTTTGCCAATGTAATTTTGCATAAGTGCAGATCTGACCATATGACTTCTAACTCAAATTTCAGTGGATTAGAACACAGAGTTCAGGCTTTACACAGTTGTAATCAGTGTGTGTAGGCTATTTTGCTTTATGCCTTTTTCCCACTTACCATGATTTTATACACACCTTTCCATTTGGCAATGTCATATGTAATTTTTAATAGCTATTTTTTGTTTTTTGGTTGTTTCAGTTGTGTCTGCCTCTTTGTGACCCCCATTTTGGGGTTTTCTTGGCAGAGATACTGGAATGATTTGCCATTTCCTTCTCCAGCTCATTTTACAAATGAGGAAACTGAGGCAAATGGGGTTAAGTAACTTGCCCAGGGTCACTAGTGTCTGAGACTGGATTTAAAGTCATGAAAATAGTATTATTAACACATATAACCCTAACACATATAACATATAAACCACAGTTTCCTTGGTCATGTCCCCTTTGTAGGGCATAGGGCATTTGAGTTTTCAGTTTTTTGGTAGTATGGATAGCACTGTTATGTAAGTCTTTATATAAATTACTTTTTTCTTTAGGGTTATTTCCTTAGGCTATATTCCCCAAAGACCAATTACCAACTCAGAAAATATAAAGAATTTTACTCCTTTTGTTACATGTAGCCAGATTGCTTTCCAGAAAGACTGAACCAGTTTATACTTCCAGCTACGCCATATAAAACTTTCCTCATATCACTACCAGCATGGGATTTTATCATTTTATCTTTGCTTGTTTAATTAATATAAAATCCCTTAAAATTTTAATTTTCATTTCTTTAATTGATAATGAGGCTGTACATTTTGCCTTGGAGATAGAGTTTGGAGTTCAGGATAATAGCAAGAAGGCCATTTGGGCTGTAATAGAAAAAGTGTTAAGAGGAACATTGTGAAATAAGTCTGTAAAGGTAAGCTGGAATGATGAAATAGACTGCCAGGTTGGGGTTACTTTTGCTGAATATTACATATGGTATCAGGTGAAGGTTGGTTTTGCTCAACAGTTTGGTTTTTTTGTGCATTGACAAGGGTGAGCTTTATTGATAATCAGGAAGTGTATGTGGTGTAAAAAAAAAAAAAAAAGGCATCACAGAAATTTCTTTCAAAAGGGTAGGCCAAAAGCAGATTTTGAAGAGTTTTTAACTTCAAGCTTAGGAGTTGTTTTTTTTTTAAATTTTATCCTCAAGTCAATAGGGAGCCACTAAAGATGCCTCATGTGTAAACTTTATCAGTCTCTCCTTTGGCATCTGGGTTTTTGCTTCATATTTTTTGGTTCAATGCAAAAATCATTTCAAGAAACATTATACTCATTTATTTTGCACCTACTGTGTGCAAGGCTGTGTGTTAGACTTTCAGGACACAAAGACAAAAATAACAGTCCCTGCCTTGAAGGAGCTTCCATTCTGTTGGGGGAGAAATGTACAAAAACAATAAGTTTAAGGAAGAAAGTACTAACTACTGGAAAGACCTCTTCAATTCTTCAACTTGTTCAACATTCCTGACCTCTTCTGATACTTCACCTCAGCTACACACATAATTACAACCTTGATGTCATCATCATCCACAAGTGTTACACTTCTGTGATCCCTAACTCTGAAATTCTTTCATTCCTTTTCTTCCTGTGCCTTGCCATCACTAAATCTATCATCCTTTATTTTATCATCTGTTATTCTATAACAAAGCTATCATCTCTGCCCTCTCACTTTCCTCGCTCTCTGGTTGATTGTATCAAAATCTTAATAATTCTGCATTTGAAATAACATAAATTAACTTTAGGATCCTTTCTATCCATTGGATAGAACCTTAACAAATGTATCAGTTTGTATACAAGTAGTTATATGAAAGTACTCCTAATATATAAAAGAAAATTTATTTTGGTTCTTGCATTGGAATAGCTTTTTCTATGAGTTAGAAAAGGTTTTTTAGGCATCTTACAAATAGAATTGGCATTTTATTCAGTTAATGAAATTAGATTACTCACATATTGCTTTTTTCATTGGTTCTGAATGATTTTCTTCCAAATTTTAGCTTAGGAAAATTTTTTTGATCTTAAAACAAATACACACAACATTTTAACTTTGGTGCCTAATTTTAATTTTAAGGGTAAAAAATATAGCCCAAATTTTTGGGTTGTTGTCTTTTGAATATTTTTTAAAAGTGTTACCATTTAAAAGGAAAAGCTTGCTTTGTTTTGGTTGGAATTTTTAAAATTATATATTTGCTCTAAAAATTTTTCCCTCTAGAAAAATCTTTGAATCGATGCAGACTTTATTGCAAATAGTTCTATAAAAATAGACAAGCTTCCCAACTTGTCTTGGAATGGGGTGGGAAACTTAAAATATCTGAATTTCTCTTTTCTTTGTGGATTAATATGGATTAATTTTTGTATGTCAATTATATATTCCCTTAACATGGACCTTAAGTTTTATTCCTTTTATAAAATTCAGATAAATCAGAAGCTGTCATATCAAAGGCACCAGGGTTAAATGAAGATGCTGTATCCATCTCTCCCTTACTCTTTGAAGATAGCCCTCCTCAACTACAGCATCAGGAGCCAGAAATTCCTTCCCAAGCGCACTTTGAAGAACAGAGAGATCCTCAAGTTCTCCAAAATTCAGTTGTTTTTGGAACTTCAGCTGAGGAAGTGGTAAAGGAAATTAGGTTCAGAATCGAACAAAAAACATCGTTGACAGCCAGCTCAGGTATGTCAGACCATCCTGGGGGCTAATTCAGGGATCCTTTTCAGGATTTCTAAGTACAAGATGCGACTACCATTCACCTCATTAATATTGCTTCAAAATGTGGCCCATTGCTTAGTGGTCAGCCAAACTTCCGGCAACCTTGGGCTTCCAGAATAGCCATAGGCTATTAGTGAAAAGGCCTTTGAGGACAAAACCATATATAAGTATGAAAAAGCCATTGAGCTATAGCCCAGCTTAGGCATGGGTTAGACTGGATGCTATAGGAGAAAGGGGCCTGGCCTTAGGATCAAAGCCTCTGGATTCTAGTCCTAGCTGTTATGAGTAGATGATCTTGGGTAAGTTAATTAAACTCTCTGAGCTTTGGTTGCCTTAACTGCCCCATGGGGATAATAGTCCCTATACTTCCATCCTCAAAGAGTTATTTTAAAAAAAAATAAAGTGCCCTATAAACTTTATAGCACCATATAAATGTGAATTAGTAGTAGTAGTAGTAGTAGTATTTTAATGAAACTTATACATAATCCTTGGCTTTCAATTTTTTCCCTCTTTCAGTCCCTTCATCACCTCCCCATTCCCCTTTTCATGGACAGGAAAAACAGAAGCAGACCCACTGAATAGTTGTGACAAATGACATTGAAAACAGAGGTAGCCATCAGGAAGGAGACAGAAATACCCTCTACAGTGACATAGTCCTCTAGGGCCATTGATTGTAGGGCCAAACAGCCTTGCATACTTAAGGAGCCACTGAGGATATCATGCATTGCCACAGTATGCCAACTATGGTTCATAATTAGTGAGTCATCAGGAAAGGGTCTATTTTGTAGTGCATGATCTGTTTATTTACTAAAGGAGAGAAGTATATGACTCATTTTAGAAATATTTGCATTGCAAAAGAAAATACATTTTGGTATTTAAAATATTATTCTTTAGGTACCTGGAAAATTCACTTTACCCAAGTATTTCCTTCCCCAGTGGGGTCAAATGAATGAAGCACCACTCTGCTTTCATTATTAATCCTGAAGCTAGTCTATAAAGGGTCTCTTTCATCTCTAAGCATGATTCCAGATTCTGACATGAACTATAAATGAAAACAAACATCTTTATCTTATCGTAGTTTCTGTTATACAACATAATAAGATGGTATCTCATTTTCAAACTGTAACCAAGTTTGTGTTTTCATGAGAAATACATCATATTTTATTTAATATCAACATTATCAGTTGCTAATATTAAAATCTTACTAACAATCCCATTTCTATAATGCTTTAAAAGTATGTGCCTCACACAATTCCCCAGAGGTAGATGAGGAAACTAAAGCCCACAGCTGTGAATGCTACATCACACAGCTAGTTTGGCCCCAAATCCAGACCTCCCAAATTCCATTTCATCATTCTTTCCACTCTACTGAGCTGCCTCACTGATTTACTATATACTGTTGATGAATTTGCTACAAAACATTAACATAAAGCATTTTACATAATAAAGTGCCTAGACCTTTAAAGTCTATCATATTGTAAAAAACAAAACAAAACAAAACAGTAATAGAATTCTTTCATTTGACTGTGAGCTCCCTGAGGGCAGGGACTTTTTTTTTTTTTTGCCTTTCTTTGTATTCCCAGTGCTTGGCATAATGCCTGGTACGTAGTAGGTACTTAATAAAAGCTTGTTGACTTAATTTGACTTCTCATATTATACTACATTCTTGAGAGAAGACTAATTTTTTAAAAGTCAGTACTGTGTTGGATCATAGTGGAAAGTGAATTTCACTAAGTGAGAATTCTTTATGGTATCATGAAACAACCTTAAATAGCTACTTGAAAACTTTGTTTATATTTGTGGTTTTTTTGTGGAAAGATGCAAGGTGGCCTTTTTTGAAATCGGTTATGGAGGATCTAATTTGCAGAGTTGATTTTGTGTGCTCCAGGCTTTTAAGTACCATGTTAAGTCTCCCTGGATTGATTAAGTGCCTGCTAAGTACCAGACACTCTGCTGGGAGGTGAGTAAAGCAAAAGAGCAGCCCCGCTCTCAATGAGCTCACAGTCTAATGGGGGAAACAACGTGCAAACAAGTCTGTATATACAAATACTTAAGAGACAGAGGAAAGGTCCTCACATTAAGGAGGATTGGGAAAAGCTTATTCCAGAAGATAGGGTTGTAGTTGATACTTGAAGGAAGCTAGGGATGTTGGAAGATGAGGATGGAGGGAATTCTAAGCATCAGGGACAGCTAGTGAATATGCACAGTCAGAAGATGGAGTATTTTGTTCAAGGAACCACAAGGAGACCAGTAAAATATTGTACTTCCCTTAAGATATGAGAGGATTGAATTTTCTTCTTATACAGTCTCTTGATTTGTGAGGTCTTCAGACTCTTAGGGTTAAAAGATTCTTCCCATTTGAAAAGCAAGAAAATTACTAATACATAAAAAAGAAATAACAATTTGAGTATCATCAGGGTACTATTGATAGGACAGCCCCAAACCCTTACAACTTCTTTAAATAGTATCTCAGTAATTCATCCACATCATCAATGTCGAGAACACTGTGCTAGGGGGTTGGAAGAACACAAATTCTAGATTAGAGGTGATCCATGGCTTCATGGAGCCTAGCATAAGGATAAGACACAAACACAAGCTACTATGCTGAACGGTATCACATGACAAGTGCATTTGATTTGCAAAATAAAGTGTGATTCTAAGGGAAAAATGCATCTCATTCAGCCTCGGGATTAAACTAGGCTTCCTGGAGGACTTGGCATGACCATGAACAACAAAGATGATCAGAGAGAGCCCCATAAGAGGGACCTTTTCGTTGAATAAGCATTTATTTTAGACCATCTTCTGGGACTTTTTGGAGGAGTGGGAATAGAGCCTATCAACTCTATTCCTGTAGAAAATGGTGAGTAAGCTGTTAATAGATCTAAAATTGCCAGCATGGTGGCTTGACTGTTCCCCCATCCCTTAGAGGAGATTAGTTACTAAAGAAATCAATTAAATTCCTCTTTTATAACAAGGCCTAAAACCACAGGAAGCCTTGGGTATATACTCTGTATAATCTCAGGTTTCTAAACATTTTATATAATTGTTTTATTGTATAAAGGTGGATTTTTATTACACATTTTTAGAAATATATACCCTCAATCTCTTTGATTTTTCTGAAAATTCTTTTTTTAGGCATTGCTCCAAATACAATGTTGGCGAAAGTATGCAGTGATAAAAATAAACCAAATGGACAATACCAAATTCCCTCTAACAGACAAGCTGTGATGGACTTCATCAAGGATTTACCCATTAGAAAGGTGAAGTTTTTAATATAAAATATTATACACACACATACATAACATGTATCTTCTATACATTACTTTAAAGAATAGATAGATAAATAGGTTGAGTCCTGAATGGAATTAGTAGCTGTTCTCTCTTCACTGAAACTAGGATGGAAGAAAAAGCATGTAGTAGAAAAAAATTAGGTTGGGCTTTAATAAAGAACTTTCTGACTGAATAACAAATGAGGTTTCAGAATCTCCTCCATTGTTATTTTTTTAATGGTATAGGACAGGCTTTGCAATTGTAAAAGCCTGTAGGTTAAAAGATTCTGAGAGAATATGGATATTATAACAAATCCAAATTTATGACCCAGACTCAGTTTCCTCAGGTCTGGAAAGCTTTGAGATAGACCATGTTCCTCAGAGTGTCATGTATTATGTTTCCTAATAAAATATAATTTTATTTATAAATTCTTTTCAAATAAGTCAGGCTCCCCCTCTCTCTCCTCAACCGCCATTTTTTAAAAATCCCCAAAGAGATAAAGCACCTTGTTTTGGGATTGAGTCCCTAAAGGAGGGAAAGCAATTTTGTATCTGAGATTTTTGCTGATCTTCCAAACCTTCTAGGACCAGTAGGAGAGTGGTGTAATAGTTAAAAGCATTTGAGTCAGAATCTGCCCCTGTTACTGTAGGGTAATCTTGCAAAGAGGTGAGTGTATGGACAAAATAATTTTTCAAAAATCCATCATAAAGACACTATCTGCATCCAGAGAAAGAACTGATAAATAGTAGTATGTATAGAATAATTTTATATATATATACCTATTTGTGTCTAATGGCAGCCATTTCTAGGGTGGGGTGAGGGGGAAGGAAGAAGAAAAAAGAAAAAAAGAAATTTATGTAACTTTAGTATGTATTTAAAAGGACTGGCAAGTTGTATGTAATAGATTTGCAGTTTCATGTGCAGTCATCTTTTTTTATTATACTATGTTATGGAAATACTTATTTTATTCCATAAATTAAAAATAATATAAATAAAATTTTTAAAAGTTCATCAAACCTCTTATGGGCAATATATTCTCAAAAAAAGTAGATTTATAATTTTAATTCAGCATTTTTATCAGAAAGTAAAATGACAATTTTACCTTCCTTAAAATGGATTAGCATTATTTGCTATATACTGATTTTTCCAGGCATTCCTGAGAGAATGTTAATAAAACACTTTGAGATGCCTGAAGAAAAGGACCCTGCAATTATTAATTATAGTTTTTGCCTAACTTCAGATATAGACAAAGCAAAGTATGAGACTGATAGTATGGTGTAATGGAAAGAGTGTTGAATTTTGAGTTGAAGGATCTGAGTTTAAATCTTGACTCCTGGACTACTATCTACTCTAGCTCTATGACTTCAGGAAGACATTTAGCCTCCCTGGGCTTGATTTTGCCTGTCTGTAAAATGGGAATAGGAGGGACAATTGAATTAATGATCTCCAAGGTCTATTCTGGCCCCATAAAGATCATGCAGGATTATGAACTCAGTCTCGTTACTTTATAGTCATACGTATAGGAAATTACCTCAAATCTTACTGTTTTGAAAATTGGTTTCAATGTTAATTATTAAGATATTTTCTCTCTGCTGTTAGTGATGATATCAACTCTCTTTTAGGTTCCAGGAATAGGGAAAGTAACGGAGAAAATGTTAAAAGCACTTGGAATTATCACCTGCTCAGACCTTTACCAGAATAGAGCCCTACTTTCTCTTCTTTTTTCTGAAACATCTTGGCATAGCTTCCTTCATATTTCCCTTGGTCTGGGTTCAACACAAATGGAACGGTATGCCATACTTTTATTCATTTTACATGTGATGAGTGGCAGTTTCAGCAAGTGTGGTTATATTGGTTATAAAGTTTGTATTTGAAAAAATTCTATCAGACCAGTGCAACTGGAAAAGAAAGAACAATGAAATCCCTTAATAGCTATACTTGACAAGGTAGACTTAATTTTTTTTAACATGTATTTGGAATATTTATGTTACCAGGAAAGCAAATAGGAATACACTCTATCAGGGGAGTTAAAAAATACAAGACTGATGAAATTCCTTCCTTCTGCCTTTCTTAAACTTCCACTCTATTTGGGGGAAACAGTTTGTTGGATTAGTGTTTTTGGCACACTTACACTTTATAAAAAATGTCATTAATTATTTGACTAGGTTAGATGTGGCTTGTAAAGCTGTAGTGATTTACTCTAGGAAGTTTTAAAGGCTTAAAGCCTTCATTTGCATTTTAAAAATAATAATTGGTCATTGAGCATTTAGCAATTGCTTTATATTAGAAAAAAGAAAAGACATTTCATGGCAGTGGGAAGACTTGCGTGAACTGCTTGCTGCAGAGCAAAGTTAGGCAGAACTAGGAGACCAAATATACAAGAATGACAGTGATGTAAATGAAAACCACACTAAAAAGCAAACTCTAATTATTTGTAAAGACTAATCTTAGTCTTGTAAACTGATGAAACCACACCTTCCTCATCTCAGACTAGAGGTGAATGTCAGTGGATGTGAAATGTGGTTAGGTAGTTGCTATGCTTGTGAATTGAGCTTAAATGACTTTTTCTCTCCTATGAAGGAATGTTTTGTGGGAGGGGAGGTTTAAGGGGGAAATGATGGTTGCATAAAAACAAAAGCCAACAGTAAAACCCTAAAAATGACTAAAGAGAAAAGAGAAATTTCTTGGCAAGAGATAATGCCTTTGGGATTTTCCTTCTAATTGAGGAGCTGTATTTCCTCAGAAAGACCATGAATCCTTGGAATCATCTTTGACTCTTCCCTTGCCACCAACACCTTCCAAGTCTTGATATTTCTAAATGTCTTTCAGTTTGTATCTTTGTCTCCATGTCTACTGCTTCCATGCTAATTCAGGTCCTTATTTACCTTTTTCCCAATCTTTTTCAATAGATGCCTCATTGACCCTGCTGCCCTCTACTTCCTCTTACATATTACAATAGCATTAATGTCCCTGAAAGACAGATAGCACACACCTTATCACATTTTTATCAAAAAACAGTTTTTCTGTTCTGACTTTTTACTAAATGTTGAAGCTCCTTCATCTGAAATTTAGGGGGCTTCCACAATATGGTTTCATTTTACCTCTAGTTTTTTCTTGCATTTGTCGTTCACCTTTACATTCCCTACTCTGTCTTCAAACTACACTATTTGCTATTCCTCTGAGATGCCAGTTGTTATTCTGCCTCTGTGACTTTGCTCATGATGTTCCCTCTATTCTAAAAGCCTTTCTTTCCCACAGTTCCCACCCTGCAGCTCAAATGTCATTTCTTCTATAAAGCCTTTCCTGATTAATCCCAAGCCCCTATCAGAAGTAATCTCTTTCTCGTCTTGATCCTCATATTCTTTGTACCTCTGTTCTTGTACTTAAATTCTATTTTATATTATAGCTATTTGTGCATTTGTGTTACCTTTCTTTTTCCTATGCATCTTACAACCAAGGAAATAAGTTCAGAGAGGTTAAATTACTTGTCCGTGGTCACACAGATATTAAGTGTAGCAGGCAGAATTTGAGCCAAGTTTTCTCCTCACTTTAAGTTCAGTACACTTTTCTTCTATCATACTGTTATATAATATATTCTTAATTTTTAAATTTAACAATTTTTTTTCAGATCTCTAAATGATGCCTGGTAGTCATTTAAATCTTCTAATTGTTTGAAAAAGAAATTAAATTATTCTAAAAAAGTAAAGACTTTTTTTGTCTGTTTTTTAAAGGGATGGAGAGAGGAAAAGTATGAGCATTGAAAGGTACTGTGTGTATACTTTGCTGTTATTAACTTTACAGAATTTGTTGTTCATCATAAATTCAACATGTATTAAAATGAATTTGGGTAAGATATACTGCAGCACAAAATTTATTTAAAGCTATAGTGGTTTTCAGCAGTTTGTAAAATGCTATGCCTTTCATATTTTGTAGCTTGGTACGGTTTAGCTTAGGTTCAAATGCCCTACTTTTAGTATAGTATTTCAGTGGATTGTTAGTATGGATGCTACCCTCCACCATCACAGATTGTAACATACCTACTCCTCCTGAAATTTCTTGTCCATGCCTTTTTATAAATCCTACAGAGGAAATCTAACCCACTTGCTGGAAGCCTTTCTTTGGGTCTTTTGATATTTTGTTGATACCAGTGAAACACTGTCCCTCTGCCATCTTTCACTCTCCTCTTTGTTTTGTTTTAAATGAGATTTGCTAATGGCTTACTGATTTTATTATTTAAGAAAAAACAATCCCTGGTTTTATTTATTATTTCAATACTTTGAGGTTTATTTAATTTTGTTAATCTCTTCTTTGATTTTCAGAATTTTTACTTTGGTTTTTAATTAGGGTTTTTTAATTTGTTGGTTTCTTAGTTATTTCTACTTGCATTCCCAATTAATTGATCCATTCTCTCTTTTTCTTTAATGAAAGTCTTTAGAGCTATAAAATTTTCCCAAAAAACTACTTTGGCTATATCCTCAGAATTTTGGTATGTTACCTCATTGTAGTTATTGTCTTCAATGAAATTATTTATGGTTTCTATGATTTGTTCTTCAGCCTACTGATTCTTTAAGATTAAATTACTTAATTTCCAGTTCATTTTAAATTCTTTATTCAGCTGCCCTTTATCGATTATGGTTTTTATTTGCGTTATGGTCTACAAAAGATGTGTTTAGTATTTCTGCTTTTCTGCATTTGTTTATGAGGTGTAATACATGGACAATTTTTATAAACATTCCACACACAGCTGAGAAATAAATTTATTCCTTTGTATTTCCATGCAGAGGTCTGTCATCTAGTTTTTCTAAAATTGTATTCAGGTTCTTAATTTCTTTCTCTTTTGTTGTTGTTGTTGTCATTAGATTTGCCTACATGTGAAAGAGATACACTGAATTCTCCCACTATTATAGTTTCATTGTCTATTTCTCCCTGGAACTTTTATAACTTTTCCTTTAAGTATTTAGATGCTATGACATTCAATGTAAATATGTTAAGCATTAGTATTAATTCACTGTCTTTGGTACCTTTCGACATAATGTAATTTCCTTGTTTATCTTTTTTAATCATGTCTATTTTTGCTGTTGCGTTGTCTGAGATCATAATCACTAACTCGGTTTTTTGGGTTTTTCTTTTAAGTTTGGCCAAAGAATAATAGATATTGCTCAAGTCCCTTATTTGAACTCTGTATGAATCTGTGTTTCTTGTAAGCAACATATTTTCATATTCTGCTTTCTAATCTATCCTGCTCTCTTCTATTTTATGAGTGAGTTTACCCCATTCACATTCACAGTTATGATTGTATATTCCTCCATCCTACTTTCCACTCTTTGCTTCCTTCTCCCTCTTTACAAAGAATAAGAGGGTAGTGAGAGAAAAGGGCTGTACTCAGCACCAGTACTTTATACTTGGTGCAAATCTGCTTCCACTGCCCTCCTTCTCTTCCCTTTCCCTCACCTAGACCCTAATTGCAGGTTAGCCTTCCATTCTTTCTTTTTAAAAACTTCTTCATGATCTACCTTGTGTAGTTAGAGGTTTTTTTGCTTGTGACTGATTCCTCCCTGATGCTACTCTCTCTCTTATTCTTTTCCTTCCTTCTTTCTGTTCTCATGTTGAGATGAAGTTATTTCTACCCCTAAACTCTTTGTGTGTATGTGCGGGTGTGAATGTGGGTGTGGGTATATTCTACTCTCCTTTGACTGGTTCAGATGAAAGTGAGATTCAAGTGACATGTGCTCCCCTCACTCCTTCCTCTTTATTTATAGTCTTCTACTTGCACACATAGATTATGTCAGACAATAAGTTCCCCATCCTTTCTCCCTTTTGTTTTCCTCGTATATTCCTTCATTTCATTTCCCCTTCTTCTTTGAAGATAATGAAAATATAACAAAAACAATCCTATCCATCTTTTATTTAACTCCTTCTATGACCTCCGAGAAGGTAGGTAAGTAGCACAGTGGATAGACCTCAGTTCAAATTCAGCCACAGACACTTAGTACCTTTGTGACCCTGGGCAAGTCATGTAACCCTGTTTACCTCAGTTTCCTCATCTGTAAAATGAGCTGGAGAAGGAAGTGGCAAACCGCTTCAGTATCTTTTGCCTAGAAAACCCCAAATGGGGTCATGAAGAATCAGACATGACTAAAATGACTGAACAACAGTGATTTCTAATAGTATTAGGGTTCCAAGGGGATACTTCTATCATCTCCGCCTAATAGAATATAAATACTTAATCCTTGAGCTGTACTTGCTGCTGTCTTTTTGGTAGCTTTTTTCCCTAGTCTTTTGGAAATTTCCTGTCTTTGAGATATTTTGAAATTTTATTCTTGAGTGTCTTTATTCTCAGTCCATTGGTCAGATTTAGTTCTTCTTCCTAAATTCATATTCTTAAATACTATTTCCATTTCCCTACATAATATATCAAGTATTCAGGTGATAAAAAGCCAAATGTAATACTTCTGTTATCAGCACTGATGAGTACAGATCACTAAGGAAACTGCACAGATCAGGCATGACCTCCACAAAAACTTGGAATCACAGAGTAATGTACAGATTGAGAATAGGAGTGTCTTTTTACTACGCAAGCTTTATTTTGTTGTCCATTTGATCCAACATAACCATAAGATTCAGGAGCATTCTCCTAAGAAAACCCAGGCTAACATACTTTAGCCATATGGGGCCTTGCATTCTCAATAGTTCTTCCCTTCCAAAATAGCCCACTATTCAACTCTTCCCCTTACATCACCCATTCTTCAGTTCAAGAGTTCCAAGGCAACCCTAACTCATAATAGTTGTTCATAGTTTCATTCTCCTTTGTATGTTTGTATGCCAATCTGTGACAGTCCATTTTTGGCAATTTGCAATAGTTGTTACGGGAGACAAATAAATCTGGGCAAGTACAGTAGATTCAGGTCCCTTAAGGACTCAGTCTTGGCAATCCTGATAAAAATGACTGGCTAGAGTCCTAGGGATTTGCATGGACCTCCGAACCCAGGTCCTCATTAACAATATATCTGTCTTTCATTATCCCCCCACGTGAGCCTGGTCACCCCACAGAGTACCAACCTACACTAAAGGTACCTCTGACTTTGTTGTAATCTTATCTAATCCTATCCCAGCAAAAACTTAAAACAAATCGGTCCTATTTCACATCTATCTATTCATTATCCTCCTTCAGGTTTCATCTTCAAGTGCTCTTAGAGTGATCTGATTTAACAGAGTCTCACACAAAATTTTCTCCAGGATTATTTAACCTCAATTGTTTTCTCAGTATTCAAGGTAGGACTGTTGACTGCCTTCCATTTTGCTCCTTAATGTTTTACAAATGAACTTGTAATGGTGTTGCCCTTGAACACCTTGTCCCTCTGCTTGCCAAGAAAATCAAATGTTTACAGGTTAAGGCCATTTCTGGACTCTTTTAGAGTTGTCTTTGTGATACCTGTATTGTGTCACTTCAACTTCTCTTAATAAATGGTGATTCAGTCAATGTTGGTACTTTTGTCCATTTCTCATTTTTTAAAGTTAATTATTTAAACTAGTGGAGTTGGAACAGATCATTACATCTTGACCCTTCTCACTTGGTATTGATTTTGAGCTTTGCACTAATCAATCAGTGATCTGATTTGACCCAGGCAGCTGACTCTGGAATAACAGTTGTGTCGTTATAAGATGTAGTCAATTTCTTTTTCATTCTGTTGTTTAGTGTTTGCCTTTTAGGCTCTAGACTTATAATTTAAAGTTACTTAGAATGTAGAGTTAGAATTCAGCTTTTGTATAAGAGGAATACTTTATTGAGACTGAGCTTACCTGCCATGAATGTTCCCAGGCAATATCTAGCTTGATGGCACGTTAATGATTCAGAAAAAGAAACATCAGTGCACCAAAAATGATATTTTTCTAGCCCTATGAGAGAAAGGAGCAAGTATGACTTTAGTAAGAATCAGGTATTGCATAATTATGTTTCTTAGATCCTATGGTTTTTGCTTATCATAACAATCATTGGACTGATTATCCTTTCCTCCTTACGATACTGCACTATATTATAGCAGTGAGTATGCATTATAGGCCTGAGTATTCATGTGATAGAATCATTGTTTATTAATGGACTTTCATCACCAGTTTTTGTAATATTACCTAAGGAACAAGGTCACTAATATATGCCTCTTAGCAAATTTAGTTAACATCTTTTATGTGTGTGTGTATGTATACATACATATATATGTGTGAGTATTGCATTTCCCCCCCCAATTTATAAGCTTTTCTCCTTCCCCCACTGAAAAAAGAAAAAAACTCTTGTAACAAATATGCAGAGTTAATCAAAGCAAATTCCCATATTGACCTTGTCAAAAAATAGTTAATCTCTTTGGCTTTTAGTTGTCTGGATTTTACAGTATGGATGTTAAGATATTTTTATTTAACTAGATTTTATTTTGGTGAATAACATGCAATATAGTACATGAAATATAACTTTGTATTGATTATCATCTTTCAGCTGTTCCTAAATTGTACTTAACTCTGTGTTCTGAATTTCTTTCTATTTAGAACATTCAGTGAGATAAGTAAAGTAGAGGAACTATATAGCTTGTGCCAAGAACTTTGTAGTGATCTTGCTCAGGATCTACAGAAAAAAGGACTTAAGGTATTTCATTTTGCTTTGTTGTTCTTATCTAGAAAATAAGATTCCACCCTATAGTATAGATTGGATGAAGAGATCAATAAAAAATGAATACCAGTGAGGAAAGTCCTGAAAAACGCACCCACTGCCTTTCTACCATTTGGTTCCAGCTCAACTCTGTTCACAAAAGTGCTAACCAGAAAGACCCAGGAGTATAGTCTGAGTTTGCTTCTAATCCAAGATAGCCATTGAGGGGGTTAAAGATTGAGGGGTCTGGGAGGAGTGAGGTTGGGGATCTCAACATAATTGGAAATTTAGGTTTGCCCAAGAATAAACCTGATTCTTGAGGATTAGACCCTGATCGTATTAACTGGGGTTAGGCAAGACAAAGATTAACATAGATTGTTTTATTTATCATGCAAATATCCTATGGAAATGGCATTTAAGGTAAGGCAGTATTAGCTACTTTGAATGGCGAGATCCTTCCCTGACCCTTTTCCTGGGCTCTGGGGAGCCTCTCAATAAGAAGATCCCTCTCGGTGGATTTCTGCCAGAACCCTTTCTGTTCCACACTACTTATATGTCCCCCACCTCAAACAAAATACTGGTTAAGAAAAAGGAGAGAGTAGCAATGAACTTATTAAAAGCTCCAATTTAAAAAAAAAAAAAAGAAAAACAAATTTGAGGATGTATCCTAGATAAAGGCTAAATGAGAATCTTTAGAAGGAAGGAAATATATGTATATACTAAAAAAAAAATACCAATTGTGGATCATACTCCAGTTTGTTACAATCTAGACTTGAGCAAATCCAGACTAATACATACATATATATATATATATATACATATATATATATATACATACATATATATATATATATATACATATACATGTTTGATTTGTTTTACAGGGCAGAACAGTTACAATTAAGCTGAAGAATGTGAATTTTGAAGTAAAAACTCGAGCATCTACCGTAGCAGTTGTTGTTTCTACTGCAGAAGAAATATTTGCTATTGCTAAGGAACTTCTAAAAGTAGAAATTGATGCTGATTACCCACGGCCCTTACGACTAAGACTTATGGGTATAACATTTTTCAGTTTTTCCTTACTTTGTTAAGCTAACATCAAGTAAGAAATGATAACTTTATCAAATGAGAAAATATTTGTAAAGTGCTAAACCCAGTGCCTGGCACATACTCAACAAATGCTTCTTCCGTTGTTCCCTTTCACATAGTAATGAATTTGGGATTGTTTTGGTCTCCATGTTTTGTTTTTTTTCTGTGAATTATTTAGATTGTTTTTAACATTCTGCTGCCTCTTATCTTAGTTGCAAAGCATCATGCTCAAAAACCGTAGTTGAACTAGTAAACTGCTTTCTTCTTTGCCATAAACTGCACTCAGAAATCCAGCCAATCATTGCACAATAATGTGCTATTCCTAAGCAAAACTAAATAGAGTGAGTATGTAAGCTTAAATACATTACTAATACAGGAAAAAACCTCGAAGTATATGCCCTCCTTACAATGTCTTGTTATCATTTTTCATGTTTAAAGGTAGCACACATTTAAACAGCATTGAATAAAGTATGATAATTGAAAAGCCAAAAAAATTTGTACATTCATACCCACTCCAGGAAGATATTATTTCACAGTTCTTTATCATATGTCAGTAAGTTCCCAGTTAATGGTATCATGAAAAGAATGTCTTTTGAATTAATAACAGTAAGTTTTTGTTCTGTTATTGTTGTGTAATGTCAAGAAACATTATACAAAAAAAAAAAGGTTTTATATGTTTCATTGGATTTAGTACTTTGAAGATGAAATTAATTTTTATGGCTATTGGTTATATTCAGGTGTACGGGTATCAGGCTTTTCCAATGAAGAAGACAGGAAACATGGCCAAAGAAGCATCATTAGCTTCTTAAAAACTGGAAGCCATGCGCTAGATCCTGTTGGGTCTGTGCTGGATAAAAATGACCAAGATCAAGTCATGAAACCTCCAGAAACATCTCACAAGGAGAGTTTCTTCACTAAAAAGCGGTCAGAAATGAGTTGGAACCACCAAGACATCTTTAAATGTGAGCCTGAGACTAAACAAAGCTTCCAAGTTTCACAGCCACCTAATCTTTCAAAGGAAGAAATGAAAGAGAATTTAGAAACATCAGAAAATACAGATGACTGTCAAGTCTTTACCTGTCCTATTTGTTTTAAGGAACAAGGAAGAATCTGTTTGGAAGCACTTAACAGGCATGTGGATGAATGCCTCAGTAGGACACTGGTGGACTGTGACCCCAAAATGGTGGCTGTCCCACAATCACAGTCTTTCTGTTCAGAAGTAAATCTGGATTTAAAAACCCATGAAACTACAGAAAGTCTGTTAGTAGATTTTGTGCCTTCAGTAAGTGTAGATGTGCTTTCTAAAGGAAAAAGTATGGAGGATTTAAACACACGAGCAGGGCATGAGCAAAGCCCAAAACAGTATTCTAGCCTCTGGAGAAAGTCTTCTCTTGATGAATGTTTTTATCAGAATTCTTCCCATGAAAATGAAGGATATGATGCCAAGTCTTCAGGTGGGCAAACAGCCCTCCAGGCATCTTTGCCAAGAGATAAAACATTCATGTGTCCTGTTTGCAACTTAAAGCAAAAGACTTCTGATCTGATGCTCTTCAATAGTCACGTAGATATTTGTTTAAATAAAGGTCTTATCCAGGAACTAAGGAAGGACGAAGTTAGTCCAGTTATGAATTGTCCAGCAGAAAATTCTAAAAGTACTGGTAAGTTTGCCTTTAAATAATTTATTTTTCTAAATGTTTATGTCGTTATTAGTGGACAAAGGCCATTCAGTGCAAAGTACATCCAGTTATAAAAGGGTAGTTTGTGTTTCCATTTGAGAAAATATAATTGTGCTACTCTGAGTCTGAATGGATTTGACACTGCTATTGTTTGAACTTTGGGAAAAGGACTTGGAATATGCTTAATCAAGACCAGAAAGAACTGAAAGCTCAGGGATTTAAGGAACTGTTGAGTCTACCTCGAGGCAATATCTTCAAAGTACATTTACAAAGGCAGAGTGACAAATTGCTTATAATTGCACAGTCAGGAAGCCTTTCACTGGCTTTTTGGATGTTCTCATTCACTTCAAAGCCTCCTTTTTTCTGTACTTATACATAATTGCAGTATGCAATACAATAATGTGCAGTATTTGATTTAAAACAGAAAATCATTTCTGCCTCAACAATTGTGCTAAACTAAAGGAGAAAGAAAAGGATGGCTTATGTAGGGCACAGAAGCAGTGGCTGGACAAATTTCTAAAAGAGGATTAAGTAAAAAACTAAGTCAGCTAGTAAAATTATAAAGAAATTGGGATGGGAATTTAATTTTCATTGGTAATTGCTAATAAAAACTATGAAACATACTAGAAACTTTTTCTTTAGTAATCCCTTCAGGGGCATTTTGTTTTTCTGAAATTTCCTTTAGTCTTCTGACAGACTCCTTTTTATTCAAATCGCTCATTTTAGAACTTTCTAATTTGTTTTCGTTTTTTTTTCTGTAGGGAGTTCTGGCAAAATACAGAAGACTATGAATGTCATAGCAAAAACAAAAAGGTATGGTTAATTCAGTCATTAACAGAGAGGGCCAAAAACTGACCTTAGCACTGCTTCATAAGAAGGTACTAGACTCTTTTCTGTAAAGAAATGAACATGGTAAAAATAAAATTCAGTTTTCTAGAAAACTGTGGAGGGAAAAATGTGTCCTTGCCTATGTTCAACTGAGTTTATGTTCCTTTTTATTCCAGGCCGGGACTGATGACCCAAAATTCAACATCAAAGAAAACCAAACCAAACAATTCCAAATACACCATTGATAGCTTTTTTAAATGAACAATAAGAATTTTGTATTAGAAGAGGTCATTTCTTAATTGTGAATATTTTAAATTCTTACTTTAAAATTATGGATTGATTCAATGAATGCAAATGACTTGATGCTAGAATCTTCTGGTACAGCTGTCAATAATGTTAAGGTTATAAATTTGTTTTGGCAAGAACCAATAGAATGTGTTTATTTGTTTAGGGTACATAAAGAAATCACATTAATTGTACCTCTGGGCCTATTAAGAATCAAAAAGCTGCTTACTCATTTTGCTTATTAGCCTTTTTTAAAAAAACATCCTTCATCCTTGAGAATAGTGAGGACATTGCCAAATGAGGGCATTTGACAATGACAGATGCCCCCTGCAAGCACACAGTTCACTTTTTAAATATTTAATCCTAAGATTGGAAATAATTGTATTCACCTATTTATATAGCAGCAGAAAAGCAATATCTTATTTTATCATATCTGACTCTTTGTTTATTAAAAAAATTCACTTTTTAAAAAAAAATTAAGAGTGGGCCTCCCTCTCTTGCTTTGGCTAGACATGCAGGGGCTACTCACAGGCCTGATCCCACTGCTGATTGGCATGGGAGCTTTGACCTGCTGTTTCTGACACAGGCCAGTTTCAGCCTCTTAAGGCTCTCTGGTCTTGTGTCTATCTGGCCCCTCCTCACCACCACCCCCTCCCAGGAGCTCATGATATTGATGTCAGACTTGGTGTGGACACCTGATTGGCCCAGCCCACTGCAGCTCAGAACTCCAGAGCTGAAAGGATCCACCAGCATCAGCCCCCACCAGCTGGGATTACAAGTATGCACTATGCACGCATGACTGCTTTTTATGAGAAATACTTAAGATAAAATGTACAGCTATAAAGATTGTGATATGTGTTAAAGCTCTGAATTATATAAGGCTTTAGTTAAATATAGTTTAATATTTAATATCTATAAAGAAACTAAAGTACAGTATCTAATAAATTAATAAATAATTAAGGTTACCTTATTGTTTAAAGAAGAAAAAAAGTAATTGTTTTACTTTTTTACTGATTAAAAAAATCATTCTTTGTTAGTTATCAAATTAAATAGTTTTTACTTTTGCTACTTTGGGTAATTTTTTCCCCAGGTTTTTCCCGTGTTTTACCTGTACATATTTGAATTAAATATGTAAGAAGGCAAAGTTTTGGGGGATAACTTACATTGAGATCTTAAACATAACCTTTGAACAAAAGCAGTAAAATTTGCCCTCACTATAAATTGAAATTTGCAACTATTAGGCTAAGCATTTATTAATATTTGTTTGAGTCATCTTGACTTTTTAACTTTTAAAGTTCACCACAGCATCTGTTGAAACAAGCTCAAAACAAAATGATTTATACCAGCCTCAAGACAGTTTATGCAATGTTGCACTGCTGTCATGCTGTATTCAATGATGTTTCATTATCTCTTCAGTGGTGACAAGGAAACCTTCACTTGAATGTAGGGTGGTGTCGATATTACTCAAGATCAATAACATCATGGTGTTCGTGGCTAGAGATCCAGCCTCAAAGCCTGGGTTCACATCCCCGCCTCTGACAATATGTTGGCTTTATGACCCTGAAAAAAGTCACTTAACTTCTCAGTACTCCAGACAACTCTCTAAGATTGCAAAGAAGGTGCCAGTCTGCATTGGTAGAGAACGTTTCCTCACCTGAGAAATCCTTGTATCAGTGAAATCACAGGTCCAGTCTTTATCCTTATCATCAACAGAAACTCTAGTATCTCAAAATTTATCACTGGAATATCTGGTATTCTTATAAAAATTCTAGGGAACCCGGACACTTCTGGGATAGATGTCAATTTAAAGAAAAAAATCTATGTTCTAGGAAAACTCCAAGAACAAAGAGCTGATGTCTGAATAAAGTAAAAGTGAAATGCAATTATTGATCCTTGTCCCTTTTTATCTGTGCTGTCACTTTCTGAGACTGGACAAAAGGAAAAAGAAAGTGCTTTTCAGAATGATTATGTAGGATTTCTGTTTCTTTGGAACTATTTTTGTACTGGTAGAGTCATAGTATATGATAGAGTCATAGTTTTGATGCATTACCTTTGATGTATGATCCATATTTTCCTTTCTTTCCTTGTTTTGACAGTAAACTACAATTGTCTGAATTTTTAATCCTGTTAATTGTTTTCTATAGCTAAAATTCCTGACCCTCACGTTAGTTGATTCTTGAAATTTGTCTGGACATTGTGTCATGAATTGTTCTTGATCACTAAAAATAAAAGCTTATTTTGGTTATTCAGAGATGTCTTCTATTATCCTTAATTTCAGCCAGAAACTAAAAAGGTGAATAGGCCTTTCAGGGTAAGTGAACTCTCTGGTTTTAATCACCTTAGTTTATGTGTTCTATAGAATCTTACATCCTTACACAGCCAACCCCACTCCTGACCCCTTACTTTTAACAGAACATAAAATTTCTAATAATAGTAAATAATTATTGAAACTTAAAAAAAAATCCACCCTCTTTTTAAAAAAGAGAATGGACTTCAGATATATTCATAATGGTAGAAGGTAAGATTTATATGACAAATGTACTCAATTTTTTCCAGAATAAGTTGTCATGCATTAGTTCCTGTTCTGAATAGCTTTAGAGGTTTTTTCATAGCAAACAGGAGATATGCTTTAAGTACACAATGTGTTTGGGGTTAATTAAAAGATGCAGAAAGGCAGAATGTTTCTTTAGCTACATAGGGACCCTAAGATATCAATTAGAATGGAGATCATTGATGCAAGTTATCGCCAACATTTCAAAATTCAAGACACAGAAATTTATATGAGCCTAAATATTCATTATTTTTCTGTCATTGATTTTTAAAAATTAGAATTCATATGAAACTGTCTGAAAAATTCCAAAATTGTGTGATTTTCAAGTATTTTGCAAAAGTTTTTTTCTTTATTTAAAAAATTATTTAATATTTTATTTTTTCCTCAGTTACACATAAAAACAATTTTAACATTTGTTTTCTTAAATTTTAAGTTCAAGGGTTTTTTTATTCTTTCTGTGAGGCCAGTAATTAAAATAATAGAAGACAGAGTACATGTTTGCTTTTATTGCTTTCAGTCTTTAAAAATTAACTTTAACACATACGATACATTCTTAAAATTAGTAGAAAAAGCAAGTAAATTAATTGAGATGAGTTATTTTTGTCAATGATAGATTAATCATTTAGATGAAACAGAAAAATTCTTAAGCAAAACAAGTGCACCACAAAGTTTTCACACATTTAACACATTATGTTTATGATATGCACATAGAAGGAGGTATCAGCAGCCTATAGGTAATTTCTTAACAGTAAAAGTGATAGATTACTTCTCACATTATATAAAGGGCATGGCAAAAAATTATTTTGTGTGTGTGTGTGTTAGGGAATATTTTAGGATTATGGGCAGTACTCACTTTATGTAAGTGAACTGTTTTGCAGACCTCTGCATAAAGCAATTTTTACTTAAATGTGAGTTTATCCCCACTCACTATATTTAGCCTAGATAACAAAGGCATACGCAAAATAATACCTTTACACAAGTTATAAAATGTACTAAAATGTAGATGTATTAAATACTATTCCATGATAATAAACAGTAAAATGAAATGAAAGGTAAAGTTAATGATAAAGTATGCACAATACTGTACAGTGTAAAGTCCACATAGATGTGAAGTGTGTTGCCCCTTCTCCAACCACTGCACTTAGCCCTTAGTTAGATGTGCAACTTTTTTATGAAGCTGTCAAGAGATGTTTGGACAGTGGCTCTCTTTTTGTTCCCTCGAATATCTGATGATAGCAAGCAATATTGTCCTCAACTAGTCTTTGAACTTTTAATCTTGAATTATTTGGATCCATCTTTTCAATACAAGAAAAAAAATTCACTCAAATGATGAGATGATTCTGACAACTGTTTAGCTATGAGCCTTTTTGGTTTGACCTCACCCTTTCTTCTTCTGCAATCTTTGCAGCTAGCAGCTCAGTCAGATCCTCCTCCAGAATCTTCATTCAGATTTCTTTCAGAAGTCTTTACATAAAGCAAATATGCATAATGCAAATTTACATAAGGTGAGAACTTTCTGTCTTAAAAGTGTTGCATAATTTCCCTAAATCTCTTCTTTCTGTCCAGTTCTGGGTCCAGTTCATTGTATGTCTGAAATATCTATCCAAGATATGCATACCAGTGGGCTTGTATGTGTGTGTGTATGTATGTAGTATGTGTACATGTTATATGCCCCTGATAGAATGTGAACTCTTCCCTAAAGGCAGAATATCTAGGGTTTTTTTGGTCTTTGTATTCTCAACTCCTGGCACAGTACCAGGCACATAGTAGGTGATTAATACTTACTGAATGGTTATTTGGATGGACTGCCAGTCTGCAACATGTCAAAATCTGGACAACATACAAAATATTTACCGTTGCTTGTGTTATGTACACAGACAGGTACAACATTTACTAAGTAATAAATTCAAAGTCCATTTTCACCAGTGCCAGAATCTTGGTATAATGAAACTTGAAACAGACTTCTTAGAGAATGAAGTTTTTCTGGTTAGGTGAACTTTCTAGATCACCAGTGGTTAACTTTCATGCAACTAGGTTAGCTAGGATTAATTCATTACCACTGCACATACTGTTTATTTCATTTTATCCTTTATTTTCCATTTGATAAGGACAAACATTCCAAATACACTTTATCTGAGGTATAGTTACTATAACTCAATGGAAGAGGAGCTTAAAACCATTCTACATAGAGTAATGAAGCTTTTCTTTTTTTTCATGGGAGAGGTAGAGGTGGTTCTGAAATCTCCTTAGTTAAGTACTGGATTAGTAAACAATGAACTGCTGAATGAAAGCATGCTTGATTTACTTTAATTGGAATATTGCAAGATAAGAGAAACTATAGAAGAGGTGGAAAGGGATCACTATCCACAGTTCTTTTTGATTTTCTTTTTCAGGTAAGGTTCTTTACTCCTGCCCTAGCTCCATTGGTTCTTCCAGCATGGTGGTCCTTCTGTACCTGATCATTAACAGGATCCAGGTTCTCTAATATGTCCTGATTAAAATACAAATAATCTTTTCTACATAGGCCAGTTCAAACAAAGTTGAGAGTTTTTTTTTTAAGAACTTTTATTTAGAAACTGAAACAGTTACATACAATAACAAACAATTACAATTACAAACAATTGCATTTCTTCTAACAATTTTCAAGCTGCCTTGACTGGTCCTGCTTATGTAATACTCACCCTCGTTTCCTTTTCCTCATTTCAGTCATCAAAAGGCATTTATTAAGTACCTATTATGTGCCAGGCACTATGCTAAGCACTGGAAATAAAAAGAATGGTAAAAAAACAAAAACAAAAACAAACAAAAAACAAGCTTTGAGAGTTTACATTGAGAGAGACACAATGTAAAATTACCAGGCACGTGCAATATGAAGAGAAAGATATTAGCAGTTGCAGGAAAGGGGGTGGGAGGTGGGGGGGAGGGTTGGGAGAGACCTCTTACAAAAACAGAATTTGAGCCGAGTTGTGAAGGAAGCCAGTCAATCTAGGAGGCAAAGGGGGGGGAGCAGTCAGTGCAAAGGGTAAGGCGTAGAATTTCGGGGTGGAGGCTCACGTGGGAGAAATGACGAGGAAGGCAGGATATTTGGGTCAGAGCATGTGTGAAGGGAAGCAGTGTAAGACTACTGGGAAGGTGGAAGGGGCACAGGTTGTAAAGAACTTTAAATGCCAAACAGAGAAGTTTAAATTTGATCCTGGAGATTAACGGGGAGCTACTTGAATACACTGATGAAAAGTGGAGGAAAGTGGCATGGTTTCTTTCATCTTTGCTTCAGAAAAATCACGTTGACAGCTGAGTGCAGAATGGATTGGAGTAGGGAGAGATTGAGGCAGAAAGGTCATACAAGGCTATTGCAGTAGGTGATGAGAATTGGATATGGAGGGTGAGCAAGAATGAAGTCAAGAATAAAACTGAGGTGGGGCAGCTAGGTTGCACAGTGGATAGAGCTCTGGCCTTGGAGTCGGGAGGACCTGAATTCAAATTTGACCTCAGACACTTGACACTTATTAGTTGTGTGACCTTGGCAAGTCCTTGATTAATCAGCAAAAAAAAAAAAAAACTAAAACCAAGGTTGCAAGCCTGAGTAACTGGGAAGATAGATGCGATCGTGACAATGATAGGAAAATTGGGAAGAGGGGAGGGTTTAGGAAAGAAAGATATCAAGTTCTGTTTTGGACATGTTGAGTTTAAAATGTCTCTGGTATGTTCAAGATGTCCAACAGACAGTGAAGCATGACTGTAGCACATGAGAAAGTAGGGCTGGACATTTAGATCTAGGAAGTATCTCTATTGAAGATGACAACTGAATACGCGGGAGCTAACAACACCACTAAGTGAGACAGTCTGGAGCAAAAAGAGAATAGCCCAGCTCAGATCCAGAGCCTTGGAGTTAGTGGGGTTTGGATCAAAGGTGCATGTAGATGGCCTGGCTTTGGCAACAAAATGGACCACTTCATCCAAGACTAGAGTGGAAGGTAGTTAAGTGATGTGAGATGAGGAGGAAATGAGAGGGGGGAGCTCTTAGTGAATGGCCTAAATTTTTTTAAAGTCTAAGGCAACACCCTTAACTAAGAGGATAGAGGTGGCATAAAAGACTTGAGAGACAAGATTTGAAACAGCCACTGTGGAGAGTAGGATAAGGAACTGGGAGGAACAGAATGTTTACCTTGCTGTATGGAGGGTTCATTAAGATTAGATAACATAATTTAAAAAAATCAGTGGGCAATAGAGATAAAATTGCCTAACTAGAAAAAAATCATTAATTTTTTATGAAAAGTCAAAAAAAATTTGATGTCAAGAAAAAAGTCAGAAATTTGATTATCCTTTTAACCAATTAATTGGTGAGGGGGAGGGTGAAGAGACTGTGATTAAAAGTGATATGCTGTACATGTATAACCTGTATTGTGTTGCTTGCCTTCTCAATGAGGGTGGGTGGGGAGGGAGGAAGGAGAAAATTTGGAACCCAAAGTTTTAAAAACACATGTTAAAAAAACTGTTTTCACATACAACTCAAAAATAAGATATACAGGAAATGGGGTACAGAAATCTATCCTGCCCTACAGGAAGATTGAAGGGGAAGGGGATAAGAGAAGGTGGGGAGAGATAGAAGGGAGGGCAGTTTAGGAGAAGGGATATTCAGAATACATG